GGTCTAATTCAATTTTATTTTTGCATCAGGCTCCATATATCATGAAAATTTTGAAAATTTTTGGCATGAATGAACGTAAAACTGTTATATTACCTTTAGCTAATCACTTTGTATTATCTAAAGAACAATCACCTGCTAATGAAGAAGAATATATGAGACGAATTACATATAGAAATGCCATTGGTTCTGTGATATTTCTAATGGTGTGTAATAGACCTGACTTAGCCTTTGCTGTTAGTACACTTAGCAAGTATATGTCCAACCCGGGTCCCAGACATTGGAAAGCTTTGAAATGGCTGTTTAGATATTTGAAAGGAACATGCAATATTGGCTTAATATATAAGTTTAGTACTGAAGGAATAAAATTGAAAGGTTTTACTGATGCTAACTATGCTGGTGATAGAGATAATAGGAAATCTGCATCTTCCTACATGTTTACTTTGTGTAATTCATGTGTTATTTGGAAATCACAACTTCAACATGTTGTTACATTATCCACTATTGAATCAGAATACATTGTTACTACTGAAGCCTTTGAAGAATCTTTGTGGTTTAAAGGTGTATTAAATGAATTTGGTGTTTTTAAGGACAATGTCACGATATATTCTAATAGTCAATCTGCTATTTACCTTTGCAAAACTCCTGTCTTTCATGAACGTACTAAACATATAGATTTTAGGTTGCATTTCATTAGAGATATGGTTTCTCAGGAACTGGTAAAACTTGAGAAAGTTCTTTTAGAATATAATCCTGCAGCTATGGGAATTAAGGTGCTCACATTGGTAAAGTTTAGAAACTGCCTTGATCTTCTAAACATCAGTACAAACTTGTAAGTCTCTTTCCTTAAATTATTTGTTATCTTATCTGATTTGCAGGATGATTTGACATTAAGGTGAAGGTTGTTGGGCATGTTTGGTAAGTGATGCTCTAATCCCTTAGGCTATGATAAAAAATTGAGGCCTGTTTAACTTCATAGACTATAAGCACATGATTGAAGAATTAAATCCACGTCACAATTGAAGTAGCTTCAATTATGTTGGGTATTTAGAGGTAATCAGTCAATTGGGCTAGATGCTCAATACCCAACTTGGAGGTAATTTGAAAATCACAAGAAAGATAGATAATTATAATCGATATCTTTTTCAACCACTTTATCACGTCTTGGTTGAGCTCTATCTTTCAGTTAACTTAACCTTGCAGTTTTGATTCAACCTAATCTTGCAAGATTTCTGAGAAATCCGTTCTCATCTATGAGCCTATAAATTGGAGTCTTTCTTCTTCATTTGACTCACCCAAAAACAAGAGAAAAACTCTTCCTGCTTAGTGCAAAAACAAATCCTCCTCTGCCTTCTTTGTGAATCTGTTTTCGTGACTGATAATGACATTTAAATTGGAGATACCTTTGTGGTGTGAATCAAGTTTCTAAGCCTAATCTAGAAGGGGGGAAATCATTCTTCAATTTTATGTTTTTTGGTTCTTGATTTTCTCTACTTTATTCTTTGCAAATCCATCATTAATTGATTCTTTTGTTTAATTTGTAGGTGGGTTTGCTCAACACGTGAAAAATATTTTATTGTGAAAATGTATGGTTGAAATTGAAAATGAGTATTAGAAGAAAAAAAAGAAGTTGTGAATGAATGGTTGTCAAACACAGACTTATCTTATTGTCAAGGCTAATTCCAAAGCGTCTGTAACAGCTATACAATTCCCAATCATACTAAAAAACATTACTCAGAGAACAAAATATTCTTGTCAATTAGGTTATATTACGAAAGAAATCAGGTCGGCAAATTTTATAAATCATTAAAAACATCGAAACCTTTAATAAGAAAGCGATGCCCCCATATGTCGTATTATAAACAAGACAAAATTTCAGGAATTAAATGTGAATCTTTCAGAAAATGAGATGCCATGACTTTGTCACATTGTTATAGCCGGCAACTATGCACACGTAAAAAGCCAAAAATATCCCATTATAACAGCGGAATTAACTATGAATTACAAACCAAAAAATACAGCTTATTTATCCCAGACTTAGTTCAAAATTTCCAAAGTAAAAGAGGGCTTGATGGCTACCATTGAAGAACAATCCACTAGTCTTGTACAATTGTTTGATAAAACATCCGGGTTCAATTCGGAAACCGGAATTTACCATTCCCTCGTTCATTTGAGTGAAGATGACAGGATCCCTACTCAGCCTAATCTTGACACAGCCACATATGTGCTATCGCAGTTCCCTCCACTTGACCAAGCCGAATCCCGAGTAGCACTTATTGACTCCACCACTCATGAACAAGTTACCTATTCTCGACTTGATCGGTCTGTTAGGGCGCTTGCTGCCGGATTGTACCATAGACTCGGGGTGAAGAAAGGTGATGTTGTGTTTGTCTTATCACCAAACTCGCTATTGTACCCAACTATATGTCTCGCTGTACTCTCCATTGGCGCAGTTCTGACCACGGCCAATCCACTCAACACGGTAGCAGAAATTGCCAAACAAGTACGCGATTCTGGAGCGAAACTTGCTATTGTTTCACCAGAAGAGATGCACAAGTTAGTGCCCACTGGAGTGCCTACTCTGGTTACTTCCTACAGTAAAGAATTTGATAATGCACTTACCATCAAAGAATTGGTTGAGAATTGTGAACCTTTATGCATTCCAGAAGCTAAGCCCGTTCAGTCGGATACAGCAGCAATTCTGTACTCTTCAGGGACTACAGGAACTAGTAAAGGAGTAGTATTGACACATTCAAATTTCATATCTATTATGAAACTGCTCAAATGGTCAGTAGACGTATCAAATGCTCAGAAAGATGTTTTCCTGTGCTTCATCCCCATGTTTCACATCTACGGTCTAGCATTTTTTGCCCTTGGAATGTTCTGTGCAGGCACCACAACTGTTATCATGCAAAAATTTGATTTCCAAAACATGCTCAAAGCTATTCAGACATACAAGATCAACAACATTCCAGCCGTTCCCCCCGTGATACTCGGGCTAGTGAAGTATCCCGGAGGGGCAAATGACTTGTCGTCATTACGCAGAGTGGGCTCAGGGGCCGCTCCATTGAGCAAAGAGGTGGCAGATAGGTTCAGAGAGAAGTTTCCTTGGGTTGAGCTAAGACCAGGCTATGGGCTGACAGAGAGCACTGGTGGAGCAACTTACTTCGTTTCCAACAACCAAGCGAAGGCTCGTTCAGCCTCGTCCGGGAGATTGATTCCATGTTTTAGTGCTAAGGTAGTGGATGTTGAGACGGGATTCACGTTGCCGCCACATAAGCAAGGAGAACTGTGGCTGAAAAGCCCTACCATAATGAAAGAATACCTGGGAAATGAGGATGCAACTGCTGCAACGTTCGACTCCGATGGCTGGCTCAAAACTGGTGATCTTTGTTATATTGACGGAGATGGGTACCTGTATATAGTTGATAGAATAAAGGAGTTGATCAAGCATAAAGGTTTCCAGGTACGGTAATTTCTCATGTCTTGTATATGTTTAAAAACAACAAGGATGAATACTTGGAGTGACTGACAAGCTGAAATGAATGCAACTGCAGGTGGCTCCAGCAGAGCTGGAAGCAATATTATTAAGTCATCCCCATATACTCGATGCAGCAGTTATACCGTGCGTTGCATGATATATCTTTCATAAACAACAGAACCTTAATCCCCATCAAATACTGTGGTGTTTAACAAAATAATGGAACCGTGCAGGGTTGAAGATGAAGAAACAGGACAGATACCCATGGCATATGTGGTGAAAGCTTCTGGTTCTGACCTAACTGAAGATCATGTTATCCAATTTGTTGCCGAGCAGGTATGTACCCCCATCACCCACCTACCCCTACCACACATGCGCATGCACAAGATTCTTCTGCAAGCTATCCCTTGCTCTGCCATAGCATTCTCAACGTTACTTTGGAAAAACTTCAGGTAGCCTCATACAAGAAAATTAGGAGGGTGAGATTTATCAGTGCCATACCAAGGTCTGCTGCAGGTAAAATTCTCCGGAGGGAACTGTCACAAAGCAACCAAGGAGTGCTCTCTAAATTATGAATGGAGCTTACATGGTCCAGAAGTAAAAGAACGGGCGTTGAGTTATCTTTAACATTGCAACGAGTTCACACTGCTCATAAGGATAAAAACTGGAACATTTTGGCTTTTAAGCATTTTAAGGAATAGAAGCATTGGTGGAATTACATTTTTTTCTAAGCAATCATTTGCATCATTTACATTGTTTTCTAAGCAATCATTTACATTGGTTCATTTGTTATTTGCATAATGACAGAAGGACATCATTTTCCTTTCCTCATTTGCATGCTTAGAATGAACCATGTGTTAGATGCCCACTTTGTAATGGAATGAATTTCGGCTAATTATACGGCAAACCCCCCTCCCCCACGAGAAAAAGAGGAAAGAGAAACCGAGAAAAGAACCACAACAGTAAAACGCAAGACTAAGTATAGGATTTCTCCCAACTAACCTTGAAATCTTGTTTGCTTCATATTTGACAAAAAAAGATGGACATAACTTCTCCTATCCAACTATGCAACACAGTTTTTAAACCCACAAAAAAACTCACTTCATCTGAGTCTACTAAGGTCGCTGAGTCTCCGAGAATCTATCACGTCAAATGCCATCACATCCCCAAGGTTGCCAGGTTGAAGAAAAGAATTTGACAGGCAACTAATATACATGTTATCTTGTGACGATACATAATTGGAACCAATCTATACAAACGCCACGTCAAATATAGACATGAAAGAATGAGTATGTACAATAAATTCCACATCAACTAACAGAAGAGAGCAACTATTATAATGGCAAAAGGAAACACACTCTGAATGAAGAGGCAATAGGGTATGTAATATATTCACAGTCAAAATTATCTAAGAAATGAAATTGAGCCAATAAATAATAAGAGGCATGTTGGATATAATGTAACAGAGAGTCAAAATATATCACTCTGCCATTGTACTTTGTCTCAATTTTACACAGCCCAATAATCACAACGAAGCAGTATTCTGAATCACTGGTTATACACGACAAAGATGGCATTTCCAATAAGTAATACTACTCTTAACAATGGGCCAATGGCACAAATACATCATGCAATCTTGCAAATATATTAGAAGCACATCAAAACAGAAGATAAGAATTCATTGAGCAGATTGTGATACTAGTACCACCAAAAGGCACCAAGTCACAATCTTCTTCTTCTATTTATTCATCCTATGCGAAGATGAAGAACAGTTTTACCTCTGAAAACAATTCAAACAATCCTAGGTATCTATAAGCTCCTGAAGTTGCCTCTCCAATTCCTCCAACCGGTCACTCCATTCACTTTTGATGTACAAGGGTCTAACACTAGTTACTCTACTGTAATCTACACTCCCTTCGATTTTTGGTCTTACAAATATTTCATCTCTAGGTAAGGTGACCCTTTTGTCTTTCTTTTTCTTGGATTTCTGAGCAGTAGCTCTTTTTAGTGCCCATAATACATCAGCACCACTCAGCTGCCTCTTTTGTTCCTCTTTAGGTTCTTGATTTTGTTGTTTTCTTTCCTTTGGTCTGGACTTGTTAGAGGTGTTTTGCTGTAGTTTAATGGAATTGAGTGCACTGGCACCACCAATATATTGGGTGGATTTATTATCTTGAAAGTCAAATCTGAGGCTTTGAACGTTAAGGGAAAGACATCTTTGCGGATGCTGTCTGGTGGCGCTGGTGGTAGAGATGATATTGGTAGGCCATGGTCTTTGTGTTGGGAGCGAAAGCGCCGCCGTCATTGGTTTTTGCGGCTGCTCTTCTCTGTGTGGTTTTCCTGGCATTTTCTCGGGCCATCAGCTATGAAAATCAATAATAATTTCCACCCAAAATATTCAGTGGCCCAGAAGTGAGGAATGGTGTCATGGCTAACCTTTAAATGGAAAAAAATAAAATAAAATAAAAAATAAAAAAGCAACATAAAAAATACCCTTAAAATTAGGGGTATTTTGAAAAATTATAAGAAAAGTTTTTTTGAAGTAAAAAATAATATGTAAAATTAAAAAGTGATACAATGTCACTTTTACAAGTTTTTTTTATCACTTTTTTATTAAAAAAATTACATACAATATCACTTTTATTAAAAAGTTATGTTCGTTGCTAAAAAAAGTGATAGAAATTTTAAAAAGACGATTGAAAACACTAAAAAAAAAGTGACAAAAATTCAAAAATGATAGAAATTAAAAAAAAAAAAGTGATGAATTTCAAAAAATGACACAAATTACAAAAAAGTTAAGCGGATTCAAAAAAAAATGATGGAAAAAAGTGACACGAACTCAAAAAAGGTGACAAACATTCGAAAAGTGACGAAATTAAAAAAAATACAAAATGAAAATCCACACGTAGAACTAACTTTCTATTGAGGCATAACATTCTATAAGTTAAAATGGCAGAAATTTACTAAAGTGAAAAAAGGTGACAAATTTTATTTTATTTTTTAAAAAGTGACAAACTCTCAAAAAAGTCATAGAAATTCAAAAAAGCGACAAACGCTAAAAAAAAGTGAATAACAACAATTAAAACTCTAGCAGGAATTGCCAAAAAGATAAATCAGACTCAACAATAGAAGAAGCTAATACCAAGTATAAAACAAACAAAGACTACAATTGTCTAAAATGATTACTCTAATGCCAACTAGTTACGTATAAGCACGACATGTATTTAAGTTTTAATTTGTATTTAAACGTATTCGTTTCCTTGGGGAATTATTCAATTGATTGCCTATAACTTGCTAATTACAAATAGCTCGTTTCAACCATGTCTGCAATGCCGGAGAAACTGTTTCTGAGGCTGAAAACCTAGTTCCAGCCAACTATGAAGGCTTGCGCCACGCTGAAAACCTAATCTCTATGTAGTATCTAGGATTGAAAAATGCCTTCACGTAACAAGTGAATAAGCCAAAAAAATTTGAAACTCAAGGTCACTAAGTTGGCCAATAAATTGGAGCTAATCCTCAATGAACTTGACACTGTAGCTTAACGAGCACCGGGAAGAATTGGGGCCCCTACTTCTGCTACTAAGGTACGTGGTTATATGGATCACGGCTTCTTATGCTCTTATTGATTTCACAATAAGCTTGAGAAGATCCCCAAGAAATTCGATGATCTTATCAATTCAAGTTTGAATTTTGCCCTTCCTGAACATGATCATGGTGTGCATATTGTCATATGGAATTGGATGAAACAATATGTCAAACACTTGGTGTGCATATTCTGATGACCTGCAGAAGTCACATCTGTAATGTGAATCCACTAGCACGGCTCCATTGTTTGTAAACCTCACAAACTTCATATATTCTCCCATCATCACAACAACGTACATCTCCTCCAATATCCAACCATACCATTCTTCCATCACCCACCCTGAAAACATGTATTACTTCCAGTAATAGTTCCTTGGAGGTATCTAATAAATTCTCTACTCAAAACAACTAATATTGATTACCACACAACTCTTATTGTTAAAAAATCATAAAATCCACAACAACTCTATTGAACCACATTTCTAACAAAAGCCAGAACACTGAGGTGAAATACTAATTTCCTAAAAAACAATTGGCAACTTCAATCCAAAACAAATTAGAAGAAAAACTATAATGCCATTTTTTTGTCTTTGGAGTGCTTGATTTGGTGTTATAGTTGAGCTAGATTATCAACAGCTCAAAAACTGAATAGAAAATCCAGTACGCACTATATTAATTGCAATAACCAAGTCGATTACAGCAATCAATAAAAAATGAGAAGAGCTAAGTACAAAATAGAAAAGAAGAAGAAGAAGAAGTTTAGAGAAGATGTTTTATAGACATCAAATCACACCCCACTATCTCTCCCTCTTTACAGTTATAGCAGAATGGAGAGTTGCTAGAAAGGCAAAAACGTGTTTTGGTCTAACACCACTTTAACAAAATAAAGAAAAAACAAAACAACACCATATGTTGCCTATTCAAAATGTGCCGGCTGAGTTAGTGACCGTTGTTGCCTCTTCTTCCCTCCTCTTTTGTTTCATCACAAGGCTGCTTCTTCTCTTCTTTCTTTTCCATGCTTTCTCTGATTGTAGCTTGTCTTCATAACATCCCTCCCCCTTAAAATAACCTTGTCCCCAAGATTCAAAAGAAGGAAATGTTGATTGAGTAAAATCAGCAAATTCGTAGGTTGCATTTTCCACATTGGTCCCTTCTTATTGCACTAACCATTGAGTAACAACTTGGTTGTTTCCTTTAATGATTCGGGTAGATAGAACCCTCCCAGGCTGTTTGTGGTCTCCCATTCCCCTGTACAAGGCTGGTAATGTATAGAATGGAACTACTTTCTCCCCTAATTTTTTCTTTAGTAAAGAAACATGAAACACAGGATGGATTTTGGCATCTGGGGGCAGTTCTAATTTGTAAGCAACCTTCTCAATCCTCTGAATTACTCTATAAGGGCCATAGTACTTTGCTGCTAACTTTTGGTTCACTCTATTGGCTATTGTCTGTTGCGCATAAGGGTCTAGTTTGAGGTATTCCCAATCATCTACTAGAAATTTCCTTTCACTTCTATGCTTGTTTGCATATTGCTTCATTCATGCTCTTGCTTGTGCCAAGTTCTCTCTTAATGCCTGATCCATTTTGTGTCTTTCCTATAAAAGTTCTTCCACTGCAGCCACCTTGAGGTGTTGATAAAGTCCAAGAGCTAATTGTGGGGGTTTAATGCCATAAAGGTCTTCAAATGGAGTCATCTTGATAGCAGTGTGCAAAGTTGTGTTGTACCACCATTCGAGCAGGCTGATCCATCTACTCCACTGCTTAGGCTGATGATAGACCGTACATCTGAGGTACATTTTAAGGCATTGATTAAGCCTTTCAGTTTGCCCATCTGTCCGTGGGTAATAGGCTGAGCTTAGTTGTAATGTGGTTTCCATGTTTTTGAACAACTCTTGCCAAAACTCACTTGTAAAAATTTTGTCTCCGTCTGTCAATACGCTCTGCGGCATCCCGTGTAATTTATAGACATTATCTAAGAAGAGCCTGGCTACACGTGTTGCTGAGAAGGTGTGAGCTAGTGTGAGAAAATGACCATATTTTATCAATCTGTCAACAACAACCAATATGACATTCTTTGCCCCAGAAGCAGGCAAACCTTCCACAAAATCCATTGATATATGGCTCCAAGCATAGTATGGTTAGGCTACATGTTCACCCTTACACCTTTGACAAGTATTACATTCTAAAACTTCTTGTCCGATTTCTTTAACCATACCAGGCCAGAAAAAATGGTGTTTGGCTCTATGAAAACTGGCTTACACCCCTTCTTTAGAGGAGTGTATAGCAGCAATCAGTCTCTTCCTTATTTCCCCATTAGATCCAATATAAAGCCTGGACTTATACTTGAGTAATCCATTTGCATAATTGTAATCTGGCTCTGTTTGTGCATTGAGTAAAAATGCAGTTATTTTACTACCTGATTCTTCATCTCCTTGGTAGCTGGTTATCACTTCTTGCATCCACACCGGTGTCATAGTAGTGATTGCCCAACATTCAGTACTTTCTCCTTCCCTTCTAGATAGTGCATCCGCTACCTTATTATCTACCCCCTTTTTATATTGAATCTCATAACTAAGCCCCAATAGCTTCGTCAACCATTTCTGTTGCAGTGGTGTGGTGATTCTTTATTCCAGCAAGTATTTAAGTGAGTGATGATCTGCTTTGATGATGAAATGATGTCCCTCTAGATAATGCCTCCACTTCCCCACAACTGTCACTAAAGCCAATAATTCCTTCTCATAGATGGATAGGCCTAAGTTTCTACTGTTAATGCCCTTACTCAAGTAGACGATAGGTCTTTTGTGCTGCATCAATACAGCTCCCATAACACCATAGCAAGCATCAGTTTCAACGACAAATGATACTGAAAAATCTGGTAAAGCCAGCACTGGAATGGTACTCATAGCTTCTTTTAGTTCCTGAAAAGCTCTATCTGCAACCTTATTCCAGTTGAAATTTCCCTTCTTTAACAAGTCAGTTAAAGGCCTTGCTATAGTCCCATATCCCATCACAAACTTCCTGTAATAGCCTATTAAACCCAGAAAACCCCTCAGCTGTTTGATGTTACTTGGTTTAGGCCGATTCGTCATTGCTACTACTGTGCTAGGATCTACTGCCACTCCTTCTACAGTGATGATGTGTCCAAGGTACTCCACTTTAGGTTGTCCAAATGAACACTTGCTATCCTTGGCATATAACTGGTGTTCTTTCAGTATGTTAGGACTACTATCACATGGTTACAATGACTCTTCAAATCAGTACTATAAACTAGAATATTATCAAAAAAAAAAAAAAAACTAATATAAACTTCCTAAGTTGCTCCTTAAATACTTCATTCATCAAACATTGGAACGTAGCTGGGGCGTTAGTAAGCCTAAAGGGCATTACTCTGAATTCATATAGCCCTTCATGTGTCTTGAAAGCTGTTTTGTGTACATCTTCAATCGCTACCCTGATTTGATGGTAACAAGCCCTTAAGTCAATCTTGGTGAACAATTTTGCTCCCTTCAGCTCATCTAACAGATCATCACTTAGTGGCATATGATATTTGTCCTTGATTGTGAGATTGTTCAACTGTCTATAATCTACACAAAATCTCCAAGTACCATCCTTTTTTTTTAACCAAGAGTAGTGAGGCATAAGGGCTGTTACTAGGCTGAATTATTCCACTCTCCCTCATCTCTTTAACCATCTTTTCAATCTCAGCCTTCTGTATGTACGGACATCTGTACGGCCTAATCCTGAATGGTTGTGCCCCTTCTTTAGGGGGTATTTGGTGAACATTGAATCTATTTGGAGGTAGCCCTTTAGGATTCGAAAA